TATATTATGTGAAGTATGATCAAATAGCATAGAAAGAAAGAGCATTTTTTTCTCTATCATCCTGTGTAAAAAGAAACTTTTATCAAGCTTACTAAGTGGTACTAAAATGTCGTTGCCACTAATTTTGGATACCCCTAAGTATTATTGTTTTCGAAGAATTACCTTGATGATGAAGATTAAGATGTGTGAGAATATTTGTTTTATCCACAACTCAAGCAAGACAAGTATTAACTCAATATCCAACGATTGGTAGATCACTCAAATCATATTCGGTCAAATTCATTATCTTACATGCATTTCTTACATGGATACGCTATTTCCTTAAAATAAAAGTAGAATATACAAACAACAAAGATATTTTCAGAAAAAAAAACAAACGAATGTCTTTCATTAGTTGTCGACGGATAAAAGTAACTAATCACTAGTATTAAATTACTGCTCTATGTGATCGATCAATAACTAAATTGTAACTGAAAGAGGATTGTTGTCCTATTTTTCTAAGTAATAAAACAATACAAAAAGCATAATCAGATGATGGAAATGATGAAAGAAGCTTTCTTCATTTGCGAACACGATGAAGTAATACATGACAATCATATAAATCGAGTCTTTTGTCGGAAGCAAAGTCCGAAAAAAGAAACTCTATGAAGTTGAGGTGATTGAGAAATGTTTTTCTTTTGAAGTAATCGTCAGAGAGAGAGAGACAAATAAAATAATCAAGCTTTATTTTTTACACAGTATGAACTTTATTCTTGTGCAACAATGTAGTACTAGTGAAAAGAGATGATTTCGAATTATTTTCTTTATTTTTAATTTCACTTTGTTAATTATACGACGTTTCAATGTATTCGATGATGATTGTAAAGTACTAAAATATCGTAATAACTAATCCAAATATATTAGTTGTCCATTGACTGCATGCAAATTACATATATATTAAAATTAGTATAAATGGATACTTAAAATTGTCATTTTGTGCTAGTTTATTAATTTTATTCTTCATGTGATACGTAATAAATAAATAAATGCACAAAAAAACTTTTCTTCTTTTTAACTGTTTAAACAAGTATCAAAAAAAGGAAAATAGCAAGCATTAAAGACGTGTTCATAGGAACACAAGGCGACAAAAAAATAAAATGGTTTAGATATCACTGCGTTACCATAAAAAACGTTTTCTGGTCTATCGGATCCGAAGTCCGGTTTTAGAATCAAAAGGTTTCATAACACGGAACTTAAACCGGTAGTAATTATAATGAAAGATATCACGACCCAAAGAATGAGGATTTGAACAATAAATTTAGTATATACTATTTTATAATATATCCATTAAGCATGAATTGTTATGATCTACCTTCATACATCAAAGAGATGATAATTAAAAGAATAGTATTCAAGCTCATATGTTGGGTTTTTTAATCTTTCATTTCTTTTTTTTTTAATAACAATATTGCACTTTTCGTCTATTTTGCAACAATATTACTCTTGAATGAGGCTATCTCATTAATTATTCTGCATATTATCGACTTCACTTTCATTTCTCTAATCTCTAAGTAATAAACAAGAGTAAAATATGTTTTTTCTCGACAGTGCAATTTGGTTATACAACTGTAATCAACATTATAACATATCTGGTTGAATCACTGGCAAATAAATTATAGATATTGTCAGAATGAGGATTCTACGATTTGTTAGTTTTTTCTATGTGTTTGTTCATAGTAATGATACGATGGTTGGTCAATAATTTATCTAAAATACTGGATGGTGTCTCGCATCTAATTTTTACTAGGTCATTTTGATATTTGTAAGGAACCTTTTTTCTCCTCAATCATCTTCATACATACAATGGTATCCAACTTAAGCGAAAACAAGACGGATTTTTCTGTTCTTTTTATTATTTGTCTCGAAGACAGATAAGAGTTAAATGAAATACAACGAGAAAAAAAACGATGTTGTCAAGTAGACATGCTTGTTCTTCCAACTATTCGCTTGCTTACTCACTATTTATATAAGCCATATTTTTTCGAGTTTTTTTTTCTTGCGTCTGTCGGTAGTTGGTTTTTCTTTTCTTTACACTTGTCAAAAGTAAAAATATGTGGAGAAGGAATAAGTATGTAAAAAAAGGTGCGTATGATGCAAAAAAAAAACAAAGATTTATTCTCACTTATATCCAAAATCATGTCTTATTCATAATAAACATTGGTATGATATTGTAGATTTTTATTAAACTATGAGCGATTTTTTGGCTGAGCCGTGCCGGCAGAGTCGTAGTAGTGGTAAAGAAGAAAACGAAATTCGTAAAATATTCTATCAACATTGGGAGAAACTGAAGAATCGAATGGAAGAAGATATGGTGGGAATCAATGAATGGCGCTCTCGAAGTATTCAAGAAATCAAATCTTATGCGGATGAACAAATTCGTATTCTCAAATTTGATTACGATAATCAACGACGTATTTTCGATGAAAAACGTACACAGAATCTTGAACTAGCAAAAGTTTATCGTGAGTCAAGAGAGAAAGAGCTATTTAGTGAACTATGTACTGCATGTCAATCATTGCAGTTTCAAGTGGCACAACTTGAGAATGTTGTCTATGAAAAATCTCGTCCTAAAGTGATAACTGTAGAAGAGCAAATGAAAAGAACAAAGCAAGACACGGCTAAATTGAATAGAAGTCAATTTGAAAACAATCGAACAAGATCGACAAATGAGAATGTTCATATAAGGGATAGCAATGAAAATGATATTACAAGATCATTCGGCCAGTCAATACCGTCAATGTCAAATGAAACACAGTAACTTTATATATACAAGTATTTCTCTATGATACAGTTTCCACCTATCTTTTGTCTTTTCAGTGGATCACCATACATAACTTCATCCTCAAATGTTAATGATAGGTTAACTGGCAGTAACTATAATTCGACAACTGCAGCTGTGAACGGTGATGATTTGAATAATAGATGTCCTGTATGTTTTATGATATTTCCATTGAGCATGCCACGTCAAGATCGATATCAGCATGTCAATGAGCATTTGATCGATGACAATAATATAAATGTCTACAGTTGATATCAATTTACTAATAGTCGTTTTTCATCCCTGAAACGATGAAGGTCCTGCTAATACTTGCTCGTGTAATTGTTTATTTTAAAATGAAAGAATATCAAATAAAGTTTCTTCGAATTATTTAAATAATTCATCTTTACACCCATTGTGATCTTACACATCAAAGTAAAATATTTCCTTTTATTAATGCAAAAATACATTGTATGAAACGAAAAACATTTTCAAATAATTCTACTTTTGTCATGGGCAGATTCATAATTGGAGTTATCAATTACATTAATATGACTACTATCCAGTTGTATTTTGTGTTGTCGTTGTCCATGGTTTTAAAATTCCAATATCTATCAGTCATTCGATTGAGGATCGAGTTTAGAATATTGACGATAACTATAAGTACAGACTATTTCAGTTATATATGCTAAAACAACAATAAATAATACTACTAACAAAATGCACTGAATCTTTATCATGTTCAAAATAAATCCTATCTACATCTTGCAAAAGTATCAAATATTTGCTTTCATTATTCTATAAATATGCTGTTTTTCACCTAAATGTTATTGTAAAACTCCAAGTTCAATTGAAACGCGTCGTATGTTGATATCATTGAAATTTTTCTTGTCTATATTTATGAATATGTAAATGAAATACTGTGTCCATCATCTTCATCATATTTTTATGAACGCTTATTTCGATGAAGGAAAGTGTTGCTTTATAAATTAGTATATAATTTTATAGACTTATTCGATTATGATTATCGTTTATCAGTAAAATTACTTAGATTTATGAAATTCTTTCTTCCTTGTAAAACAATTTGTTGTTGATAATTTTAATTTAGATGACATTAAAATTCATCTATTTGATATTATATTTATTTTTTCGGTACAGTTAATACTAATGGCGCATCAGAAAGTACATTTTGATAGTTTTTTTTCTCGATGAACATTTTCTTTATGTACGATGATTTATGAAAATATTCTACATAATCGAAAAAACAGTTAAGTTATCGTTTCGTTATTCATCGTTAAAAAAAGTAATCTTGCTTTGCAGCCACTGCAAAACACGTGTACGCAAAGAACGAAAAAACTCACTATCGTAATTTTCATTTCTGTTCTACCAACTACCTATTTGTTTGTCAATATATTCATTGAGTTGTTGAATTTCTTTTTCAAATAATTTTTTTAAAAGTTCGTTCGAGTAAGTTGTTTTGAGAATGTGAATAAATAAGTGACGAATGATTTTATGACAGACCAATTATTTTATATAATTAGGAAACTTTTAGCAATGTACTTGAGATTCATATGTGCAAAACAGAATTTGCAATATTTTACAGATTTTTCATTCACATGACAAGTGCCTTCCTGGTTCCATCTCTTACTTGGTTATCTTGTACCAACGATTACATTGATGAAATTCATAATATATTCTGTCAACATTGGCTAAATTTAGATAAGGAACGAGAAATAGCGATCGATAGTATAGATAAATGGTGCCTTGGATGGGAAAAACGCATTAAAAAATATGCCAACGAACAAAAAGTTCTTCTTAATAATAATTATGATCGCCTACGATATGTTTTTGACAAAAAACATAAAGAAAATGTTGAAACAGCCAATGCTTATCATAATACACAACAACTAGAACTGTTTAACGAATTACGTCATGCATGTCAAGAATTAGAGTTTCAAGCAGTCAGACTTGAGTATTGTAAAAAGGAAATGGAATATCCGAAAGTGATCGACATAGAAGAACGAGAGGAAAGAACACAATTAGAACAAGTGGATACGGATACATTGGAAAATGCCAGACGTCGAAGACGACGTTGTAAAGAAAATGATAAAACAGAAAACACCAGCAGTACTAGTGTAAGCTCATCACCTAACTCAATAACCTCGTCTTCAAAACAAACAAAGTGCGTATACACATTGAAACATGTCATGGTTGTAATTCTTGTAATATTTTTTCTAGCAATCAACAAACATCAGATACACAATCTAAGAGGAAAGATGATCAGTTGACAGATACTAAGAATACTTCCAAAAAACAAGGCAAGAATGACAATGATTCAAATGATAAATGTCCTATATGTTTTATGATATTTCCATCAAACTTGACACGTTCCGATCGAAATCGACACGTCAATGAGCATATTATAGATGATCACAATGATTGACTTTTGATTCACTTTCATTTACTAGCAGACAAACTTGTTTCGGAACAACCACGAAACAATTGTGTATGTAAAAAATGAAAAACACTCTGTTGCTTTTGGCATTTACATTCTTTCTTGCAGACTAAAATAAAGTATTTCGTTTATTTTTTTTTCATCAGAATTACATATTATTTTTTATTTGATTCCTGATTAAGCAAGTATTCTTGTGTTTGATGAGTCCATTGCAAAAAGTTCATATAAAAACGATGTATCAAATTCAAGAGCTTAGTTTCATAATAAATCAATCGATCTATTAGGAATATTTCTTCTATATGTTTCATATTGAGTTTGTGTTTGAACTAAGTCTTCTTTTACTATTTCATTGAGTTTTAAGAATATTATAAACAAATAGTAGAGTTCAACAGAGTCGAAGAAGTTTTTCGTTAAAAAAATATGCTTACATGAATGAAAATATTATAGATTTATAAAAATGTCATTAAGGGTACCCCCCCCCCCTCTTTTTGACACTTTCTGATTCTCGAAGACGGTACGACCGATCAAGCTCAAATTTTCAGCACAGATACAGCATCAAAAATAACGAGATACATGTTCGAGGAAAAAAATTTAAATTAAGTTTTTATGGGGTTTTCAGGAAAACTTTGGTTTTCCAGAGGTCCGCATCCTGATACATTACGACCCCCCTTAAATTTTGTCCGATTGGGCTGAAATCTTGTTTATAGATACTCAACACTATTCGCCAGCTGTAAAATGACGGT